AATATTTTGCGCAGTATATAAGCAGTTTTTTTATTTAAGAAAATAATTTATTATTTGCAATAAACATGTTTTATTGGGTTTTTAAGTTTAAAAATCTATGTAAGCCATGGATTTAATATTAACTAATCATTAGCGTAGTTTGCGTAGATAAATTCAAATGTACTGTATTTTGGGACGGGGTGGAAACTAAAAATAAATATATAATAAAATAAAAAGCCAAGCTAAGAGCTTTATTGCACGATTGACTTTTAAATTGCTTTATTGTTTAAATTATTAAATGAATATAAGTATAGTACATATATTATATTCACTAGGATTATAGTAATCTTAGTGAGCATTAGTCGTTTCAAAAATAATAATTACATAATAAATATACCATTAAAAACTTATAGTATTTAATCATTATGCAGCTTTTCAACAGTAAATACTTTTGGNTAGTCGTTTCAAAAATAATAATTACATAATAAATATACCACTAAAAACTTATAGTATTTAATCATTATGCAGCTTTTCAACAGTAAATACTTTTGGAAATAATATTGAAACCTTTTGCTTCAGATTCTTTAAACTTGGATTTCATGGAGAGAGTTAAAAATTTAAAAGACAACGTCAAGTATGATCATCTTTTATACGTTAATAAAAAAATTCGATTATTGATATATAATCTATAAAATCTCTTAATTTTAAACAAATTGTTTTTCATATTTTTTTTTTACATGCTGAAGGCAAAACTAATTCAATTAAAATAAAAATGAAATTTGTGAGTGGGTGGTATAGTCACATAAGGTGGATTTTAGCCAAAATAATAACTAGCAAAAATGAATACATCAATTAAATTGGTAGAAACTATTTTTGTGACAAGAAAATATACATTTTGATCATTGTCAGTAAACCTTAATATTCTTTAATGAAATTTTCTATACAAGTTTTACTATCTTCCTTATGTTGATATTTTTAGATTTTGTTTTCATAACTAATATCATCTATCGTTTAACTGCAATGAATATTTTTTCTACGTTTATCAACCTTATTACATTTGGTAAATATATTGAATTTTTGACATGTATGAAAAAATATGACAAAATTTTGAAATTAATCAAAGCTTTAAACGAACAAATACATTAAGTATAAAAAAAATCTACATTAACAGTATATGGTTTTTTTTATCTAAATTTTATTCATATAAATTGACTAGAGTATGGCTTTTGTAAATGCAATTCTTGCGATAACAGGTACTATGTGACGGATGTTGCTATTACAATTTATGGCTAACGTGAGTAAAAATAGTTGTCATTAATAAAAAATATTTGTTGCTGTATCGGATGATTGTAATGAAGCTATTCTAACTACGTATCCTATTCTCTAAAAATACGATATAAAATTTTTATGCGTATAAAAATTAAGAATTTTATATTATTAATAGCTTCGTTAGTAGCTATCAGATTCAGCAACTACTTTATTGATCTCATTTTTTCCATCAATTGATGTTATTATTCTTGAAAATACGAATTTATATCTCACCATAGTGTGGACAATTATTCTAATGGGATTCTGTTTTTTTTTTTATCTCAGAATTTCTTAAAATAACAATAGAAATTAGATTTATATTTCTATGTCTTTAAATTAATAAGTTGATAAATAAATTAAAAAATTTTCTCGATAAATTGTGTAAATTGACTTGCGTTTATATTAAAATAAAAACTATTCAGAAACTAAGGTGTGAATTTAGAAATCAATTTTGGGGTGGAAATTTTACTATTTCTGTTAAAGGGACAACTATTTTTAAAAATAGGACTTATTTTTAAAAAATAATTCTAATCTAAAAAGAGGCCGATGCTTCTATGGCCCCATTGTAACCGCGCCTAGTAACTGTTTGTTGGTTTCCAAGTTGTTTTCAATTCAGCCGACTAGTTAACGCTAGTTTCAAAATACAGTGTTTAGTAAAAATTGTAAAAGATTTTACGAAATTCGATAGAACAATAAATATGTTAGGCAAAGAAAAAACGGGTAAAGACCTACAAAAGCGCTTAATTTTTTTTATGTCAAGGACAATATACCAGAGTTATTTTTGGATAGAAAAGCTAGAATTTTGGAAGGTTGCTTATATTTGTGATTTCTAAAATGAAAATGATATTTTTCGTGGGAAACGAAATGAAAAATGATGAGCGGTTTTGTGAAAAAAATAACTGCAATTGCCAACAGGTTGCGACGCGTAGAGAATAACGCATTTCCTTTCTGGGAAGATGTAATAACCATTAGCTGAGGTAATGATTTAAAAAGCGTACGTTGACTTTCTTCCTAATTACTACGCAGCCGACGTGTAGTAAAACGGACACGTCAATTAAAAGCTTGTGCCATCGACGGGTTATCGACAATTTTCCCCTACACTTATGTCGACCGTAATCACTGGCAAAGAAAACATTTTTTTTTAATCATAACAATAGAAACGAATACAAAATGATTATATTGTAATAACTCGATATATTATTTTGTTATCTCGACAACGAGGCTCCGGCAGCACCAAGAAATAGGTATGCCGGTGTAGGTATGTGTCCATTATTATTATTATTATTATTATTATTTTATCAACGGCACTACTATTCTTTACTATTCTGACCAAAGCACTAGGTGTTCGTAGGCTGAAACGCAACAGTGGGGAAGGCACTGTGGTCGGTTGACTAGTGCGACGACGGTGTGTTGACACGGCAATAGCCGGAGAGTTCAACGGCCGGACACGCGCTCACGCACCAGCCGTACAAACCTTGGGGGATACCGTTATGTTCGCCGGCTGTTCGCGCTCTGTCCCGGCGCATTCGCCTCTTCCTGCCCATCGTTGCGTTTTGGCGCACGTGTGCCCGTGTCCATGACCGCCATTGCGACACGCACTTATCCACCGCAGTATCTCCGAACTCTGGTGGAATTCCTACTGTAAGAGCAGACGTGCTAACACAATATGCCAACGAGAAAAGAGAGGCCCCTTCTAGGCGTCGGCACAAGGTCCGTTTTCGTAAACTCAAATACAAATTTGCACGCGGTAAGTTCACGGACGACGAAACATTCTTTGCAGTTCAAAAAACAATCCAGCCGTAGACTTTTTTCAGTCGTTTTAACAATGGCCATCTTTAACATTGGACTCTATACGTATTTATATTATATAAACACTCGATAATGAGGCACCACTCGGTCATAGCAATCAACTAATGGACGAGAAATTTAAAATCCGTTCGTTAACAAAATAAATTCGTTATGTTGAACGTGGATACAGAGAGTTACTGTACTGAATCTTTCAGGTTTTCAAAAAAAAAAAATAAAAATTCCTACTGTTTTACCTTTTAGCTTCGATGCGAAGCTGAGAAGGTATTAATTTTACTATGATGTGATTTTTGGGGGTCTGTTACCACTTTTTCTCAGCTCTCACCCAACGGATTTCTTTCAACGATACGACATAACCCTTAAAAATTGAAAATATATCTCTCGTTGCCCGTAAATGGGGGAAACCTCTAAAAAAATTACAAATTTAAAAATGTTCGATTTTTTTTACTTAAAACTGCCATAACTTTTTCAAAAATGAACAAATCAATATTATTTTTTTTTTATAGATGCTTAATATCTTTACCTATCATTTGATATATTTTTTTTTATAAATTTGACCCTAGACCTGCCCACAGGGGGGATTTTAAAATTACAACTTTTTCAAAAAAAAATTAACTTTTTCAACTTAACTTTTGAAAGTGTTCCGGAAATACTGACACTTTTATATATATCTTAAATTAAAGCTAATGTAATAAACTTTATTATGAAAAAAAAAAAAATTTCGGTTTTTATTTTGTTTTCACGGTGAAAATGGCTATCGAATGCTATTTTTGTGTGAAAATTCTCGATTTAATTTTTTTAATTTTTAACTATATAATGCTATAACTTATTGAATAGTGTATGGATCAAAAAAATTTTTTTATGAGAAATAATATTTTTTAATAATCCCTTTTTCATTCGACATACTTTATCTTAATCAGGGATATTAATAAGGAATTAGCAGATCATGTAACTTTTGAAATAATCCACCAATTTTTTAAAATTAAACACTATCTAAAGATTTGCATCGAAGCGTTTTTTTTTTGATAATGATTTTAATCACTGTCAGATATCATTATACTTGATCCAACTATGCCACGTCACCACTGAGCCGCGACCCTCCTTTACTGGCTTTTTTAATCTTTGTAATCATATAAATTCCATTTAACAAACAATTGTTATATTTTTGTTATATAATTGTTATAAAACCATGTTATATTTTTAATAATATAATATTGTATTAGTTAGAAAAAAGACAAAACATAATGTCCTACAATTACCATAGTAACGAAATGTCTATAAAACGGGAAACATTTTCAACTTTAACTACAATTTCATCTGTCAGTTTTCTCGTGTCATTGAAGAAGAAATTTTTTTCGTGATTAATTTCTAGCGCTTCTTAAAGTGTAATCAAGTCGAATATTTTAGTTCAAATCGATTTTATTGCATCGTCGCAGTTTGTCATACATTTTTTTTTGAACTACAAGATTCAAATCACTCGTCCACTCATAATGCCTAAAAGGTAATTAAATCGTTTTTCTTTATACGACTTTTAAAATAATTTTTTCTCATTTAGCCAGACCAATAGTATAATAAAATTTGATTAATAAATAAAAAAAAAAATACGTTTCATATTAGATATTTTTCAGTAATTTTACAGTGCATGGTTTTATTAATTTTATCTGAACAACTATTTTTAAATACGGTGGGCATGAATAATATTTTGTTCATTCAATCAAATTTTCGTAAACAGTTTTATTATTTTTTTAAATTGAAACTATGTTAAAAATATTGAACTAAAAATAATTGTATTATATATTTATTATTTTCCAAGTAAATACAATGATTTTATCATTATTGATATAATATTGTTTTGTGAAACAGTTAGAATTTTATTTTAAATTCTGTAGTTTTTGATTCTATTACAGAATAAACAAGCAAAATTCAAATCAACCAAATAAGAAACAAAAACTGACCTTTGAAAAATTTCCGGTTGTTTTATTAAAACAGTTGTCTGACTTCGAAATTGGTAAAATCATTGTGTAAGTTTTTTTCAAAATTAATTTTCAGTTACTCAAATCAAAAAACATTTTTATACAAATTGTCTCTGCTGAAAATCAGTTTGTCATGTAGTAATTTCACGAAAATCCTTTATGTTCATATGTAATAAAAAAATTGTAATTAATTTTCAATAAGTAATTACAATACAAATTATGCTATGGAGTAAAGTTTAAACGTAAAAAAGTACATAATTCTAAAATTTATAATTAAAAAAAAACTTTGAATTATTATGTCAATAGTTTGAGAATTTTTAATATGTTATATAATAGTAACCACTGCACTTTTTCCTTCCCTAGTAATATCAGTTGACATTTGGGTATCTGGTATCCAACACACTTAAGTACGACAATAGAACTTTTTTTTTACAGAAATGTGGGAAATGGCATACTGCCGACTCTAGAAGAAATTAGTCAAAAGCCATTGGTTCAACCCCCAATAAGTCAAATGGCTATTGACTCTAATTTAAAGGCTAAACAAATATTTGACTCTATGGTTAATGGTGAAAATAAAAAAAAACTAGTAAGCAAAAAAAATATTGTCAAACGAGCACAAGTCAAAAAAAACAAGTCTAAGCAGAAAGCTCGTGGACCTGCTTCGGTTTCCAAATTTAAAACCTTACAAAACACAATAAGGGTTAAGGACCCAATAACGATGATGACAAAATCTAAGTATAAACAATTTCGAAATAATTTTTTTGGAAAAATCAATTTTGATATTGTGGTGTCTGTTGAAATGAGTGAAGAGCAATTTAAATGTTTTAAAATTCATAACATATTCCCAAAAAATTCTTTTCACAGTCAACTTCTACGGAACCAAATAAAATTAAAAAACTTTAAGATTTTACCTTTAAACGCTTTTTACGTAACGACACCTGAAATGCCTGTTCACGATTTTTTAACCGTTAACGCCTCATCACAGTATCAATATATACGTGTATTGTACAATGTAAATACTTTTTATCCAAAAGTAACATTCGTTTCATGGGAAGACGGAATGTACAGTAAAATACCAATTGGGAAAATCAATAGAATCGATGGGTTTACTTTTTCGTACAAAGATCATATCATAAAAATAAACGGCAACTGTGACGTGACGATTTATTTAAGGGAAGGAAGAATCTTTGCAATGAAAAAAGGGATTGAAAAATCGAAAATGGATTTTCACTATTCTCAAAAATACTTGTCTTAAAAATTATTTTACTAGTTAAATTCATTATTTACTCTTTATATATATATATATATAGTTCTATGGCTACTTTTTGTTCTTATTATCCAATAATTATATATATTTTATGACTTATTTGAAATTAAAAGCTTTGTTTGTAAATATCCTTCAGTTGGACATTATTTTAATTTGTTACAAATTGAAATAGGGAATACCAGGATGATCAGAAATAAAAGTCGAACAATAATCTTTTTTTAAAACGTTTACCTTTAACATAAAATATGTTCATTTGTACCTGGTCTTCTCTTAGATAAAACAAAACAAAATAAAATAAAAAAGAAGAAAATTTTATTTGATTTAAGTAAACCTGTGAAACATTTACATTACACTTATTTAGTCTTCGATTTTAATCAATTAACCACCACAATTTTCATTTAACTTGTTAGATTATTAAAAAAATGTGTGTTTCAGTTTTTGAAAGTAGGTTCAACGAGAAACGAAATAAATTCAGTTATTTCATACAATTATATTTAATATGTTAGTTGAGAGAGCTGAATTTTATGTAAAATTTTTTTATAAACAAACTTAATATTATTATACAATATTATTGGATAGAATAGTATAAAATGAACTCTAATTAAGGTTATGATTGTTATTATAATTAAATATATATATTTATATTGGAAGAACTATTTTCCCAGCAATTCAAAGACGTTTTTCCCGACAGAAAAAAATTTTTATATTAGTAAAATGGCCAAGTCTAAAAGACGGCTAGTAATTAATCAAAGTGAACCACGAAGAACAAAGAAAAAGGGTATTAATACTTTGTCAGATCTAGAAATGAATGTGCCTTTAAATAAATAATAATGGATTTGGGCGTTACAACTTGAGGTCGTTTTCGAAAAACGTCCTTAAGTCGTGTATGAGAAAACACGGTCGCGGTCTGTACTCTGTTGATCAACGGCTAGTGATAAATGTTAAAAAGCTAGTCAAATTCCGACTGGAAACTGCGGTAAACAGACGACAACAATCTTCGGGAACTGCCGATAATGTTTTACCTTCGACTTCTAACACATCAGACCAACAAATTGAAAGCCAAACTGTTTTTAATATTGACATGAACGAATCCCTCGAAACTCAAACTCTAGAAGTAGGCCGTGTTGAAGAATTTCAACAATCTGACCAACGTGGTAAGTCATCGATACATCTAAGTGAAGAGATTTCTCCAGTCCAATACCAATGCACAACTCAAGAACAACAACATCGTATGTCAAATATTAATAAGTGCGAAAAGGTCTATTTAGAAAACGCAATGGATAATCAAAAAATGTCCATACAAGAGAACTACAATGTTTTTGAAACTGAAAAAAAAATGACAAAATTGTGAAGCGTGAATAACTTTAAATTGTTTTGATGATTTTGTTTTTATTTTAAACAATCAAAATAAAAAACATACTGATTTTTAAGTACAATATTTTTTTGTATTTATAAATTTTATATACTAGTATTTGTAATAATTTATGCATTGTTTAATCATCAAATTAAATTGTTAACATAATTTTGTTCTATTTGAGATATATACTACTAATTTACTCACATTATTATATTTATTTACAATTCATACAATATATTTATATAAATAACAATACTATAATAAATTTTTATATTATAATATAATATATTAATAGACATATTATGTCTATTAATATTAATAATAGCAAAATAGAATAATATATAAAATTTATATTTAATATACAATATAATTTATTAAGAACTCGTGTGATAAAATTTATAATTCTTGTCTTAATTCAAACAATACTAAATTTTAAATTACTGAAAACTTTTAAATAAAGGTCAAAATATAATAATGTACTTGCAAATACTTAGTGCTTTAATGAGTCATTAATGAGTTGTCTTTTTTTTTTTAATTAACACTGCTATATCAACAAGAATTAAATTCAATAAATTTATAATCGTTTAGCATAGTAATAACAAATTAACTCGTAATCAAACAATTTTTATTACATTGATTTGACTTTTATGTAGAATCAGGTTCATAAAGAATATAATATATTCTTAGTATAATATTATTATACTACACCCTTGAGTATGACAGATTAATAATAAATGTTTAACTAACCAAATGGTGTGTCCATTATTAATATTTTTTTTATTTAAAATTAAATAGGTTCTAGACGAATAACCTATTTCAGCACTATTCATTGAGGATAACGTAGCCAACTTGGAGTAGCTTTAGGCTATTTAAAATAGCAAACTTGTATTTTAATCGTATTAAAATTAATACATAACGTTGTTTGAGGATATAAAAAATAAACTAGTCTAAACTAAGTTTTATTATCATTTTTTTTTTTTGTTCATACAACTTTCTCGGAAATAAAAACAAATCCATTAATTTCGCTATAAATTATTATTATTTTTTTTTTTTGTTATAATCTTTTGATCTATAAGAGATCGTCTGCAATTTCGATATTGTGCGTTGTATAACTAAACCTCGTTCTGAATTGTAAGATACAAATAAAATGAATCAAAATCATTATGCACTGATCTAAAGAGTGGCAAATTTAAAATTTTTTATTTAATTTATTAACATTATTATTATAGACTATTTTCGGAGGAATTCAGTTTTAAAAATTATAATGCAATTGATATATAAAAGTATGTTCATTTAATTAATGGAATCTCACGTGTAAACAGCTATTATTTGTGATTGTTTTAATTTTTTATATTTAGTAATATACACAAACAAGGTGATTTTTTTTACGTTAGTCAATCGATTTCATCTAAATTAATAAAAAATATTAAGTGTTTATTTTTTAATTATTTAGTTTTATATACCAATTTCTCAATTAATCAATACTTAAATAATTTTTAGATCTATCCCTTATTTATTCTTATAGAATAAAAACTTTTAGATATGAATATATACAAGATATTCTTTTATCACGACCGTTAATTTATCATAAAATAAAATAATATTGACATTTTTTTTTTAGTTTTTTTACGTACATACTTTATTGTTCATGAATTTTTTTTTATGTTGATCCCTAATATGTGTATCAAATTTATTTTTCAAATAGCAACAATCATAATCAACTAATTTTTTAGATTTAATTATTAAAAGATTGATTGGTCAAAAACAACCTATGAGCGAATATTTGTATTGTTATTTACATTTTTATACATAGATGAGAGTAAGATCAGACATTTTTTAGTGATTAAAATAATAACACTCATTTTTCATCTCAAATCATCACTATAAAATAAGTAGTTCATGGTAAATCAATCACTCTGTATAAGACACTTACAAAATGGCAAGTAACCAAACAAGAAAATGACTGGTTAATATCAAATTTTGACCCATTATTTCAGATTTTATTACAAAACATATACTAGGGATGAAGCGCAGATATGATATTCATTAGATATTTTTCTTTAAATTTTTTTTGAATTAACTTAAATAATTCTTATATACTTGTTAAAGGTATTCATTGTTTAATATGTCACTTCTACTATATTTTTGTAACAGATCTATAAATATAACCAATTTGTTTTTATTTTAGAATAAATATGTTTATTTTACTTTAGTACAAAAATGTGTTTTATATTTTGATTGTCTGAAAGATTTCGAATCTAGAAAAAACCTTTAATATATTGTTTCTCTTGAAAAATGTCTGTAAGTCAATATGTCATTACATTCTTCTTCTTCTTTTTGCTTGCCTTAATCCTAACTGCTTGGGGTCGGTCATTTTTAAAACATTCAACTAAAAAAATTATTCCTTTTTAATTGGTGAAATTTAATCATATTCCCTTATAAAAATTTGATATTGGGTGATAAAAAGAGATTAAAAAAAAAAAAAAAAAAAAAAATGAAAAATATTATATTTTCAATATAATTATTTTATGGTAAGAAATTGTCCTTGGAAAGGAATTTACCTTAAACTCATTATTATTCACTTGTTTGAAAATTATAAATGTTATTTCCTCATTAGCAAAAAATATGTAACATAATTAAATAAAGTCAGTGTTTTAAGTGGGAAAAACTAGGAGAGGGGAATATAGTTCCTAAATATTGTGGAGCGTTCCTGAGCCACACCAAATAGTCTCCCCTCAAAGGCTAAAAGTGATATTGATAATAATAAAAGAATAGTTTAGTTATTTCATTAAAAATCAATTAGAAATGAAAATTATGCAAAACATTACAAAGTCAATATCAAAATTTTAATTTATTATGAATATAAATGCATAAAATCTATTTAAATTTCAAATATTATAATTTAACAGCAACAAGTTAAGAAAAAAATATTAACAGTAACCAATTTAGGTAGGTATCTACACGTATAAATATATCATCAACCGCGGTAGGTACTATTGATATAACAAATGTTTATATCACCTTGAATTTTTATTTCTATCACTTTATAACCCTTAATATAATAATTAATTTAGTTCCATGTGTAATCATAAATTAATTGCATGGTTTTTAAAGTTTGCATTGAAGAATTAATTAATATTTCGAATAATCCAAAAACAAACAAATAACAATAAATACGTCATGGTCGACCATACTCCAAGTACTTATATTACCACAGTCATATTATGAAATTCTTATCGTTTCATAATTTAAGTTCTTTTAAAATTATTTTTTTAACGTATTTGGCCATTCGAATAAATTTGTTATGTTAACTCTTTAGTTTCAAAATAAAAGAGACTTCCTGGCATTTTGGAATTCCACCTAAAGGAGACGCTAGATTGTACTCCAAGTAAGAAGGAGGACTCCGTCTACCCTTATTTTAACCACTGAATAAAGTCATATATGTTAAATTGATTTAAGTTTAAGCTACTATTACATTTCTTATCAGAAATAAGTATCGTCAGTCAATGACTGATCTATGAAATCATGTTCGCGGGCACATAAATATTTTGTTATTAAATTAAATATTGGTAGTCTTCTAAAACGAATACACACGAAAGATATAAAAATGTGTTTAAAAATTGCTAGTTTTTAAAAATCTTGTTCTAAGGTTTTTACACTATTATTCCATTATTGTCAG